AGACACTGAAGTCAATGGCAAAGCTGTGAACTCAAATATATGAGCAGCCATGAGCACAAGTCTATGTGCTTATATATAAGCCACTGCCTGGGCTAACCTACAAAGCCATTTATTTTGGAAACTTGTTTAGGGGTCTTTACATGCATGCTTGGTTACACTACTTAGTTTCTATGTGGACTAAGTGGAGGAAAAATCATACAAGCAGGAAAGAAAATAATACAAGTAAACTATCAGATGACTACATCTTGCTTGAATGAGGTTGTAGCTAAGACAGGCAGAATAAACAAAAACTGATAGCAATAAAAAGAAATGTAGTCACACTCAATGCAGAACTACATTAGAAGGTATTCCTTCCACAGTTACAGATTCTTCCTAAGGTCTTCCTCAAAAATGCATCCTCAGTGTTTGTTAAGCAGTCAAGCGACAATATTGTCAAGTGACAATATTACTAATCCACTGTTTTCCCAGCCAATGTAATATTTTGGGACAATAAAAGGGTTCTGGTTTTGTTTTGTTTTTGAATGAACCATGATCCCAAGAAGCACAAGTGACATAGTGCAGTAGATAGCAGCTTGGCTCAATTCATAGCGGGAAGGGACACTGGAAATCTCAGTAGTTCAGATGATATTGGCTGGATAGTTCAGCAAGAAGGGTACAGTATATGGCTGCAGAGCTAGAGGTCAAGAGTTTGATTCCCTATTGTGCCTTCTGGAAGAAGAACCAGTCATCTTGGTTGTTCTCTTACGGGCTGATATACATTTTTTTTATATCACCTGCCACTAACAGCTTCTGCATGGCTTCCAGGGATCCGCATGGAAACCCCCAGAAAAGTAAACTACCATGAAGTACTGGAATACTTAGCCACCTAGAGTGGTCCTGACCCGATCAGATAGGTGGGATATAAATTAAATAAATAAATAAAACAAATACTTCTGAGCATTCTATACCTGGAAAGGTTCACTATCATTTGGAACGGACTTGATGGCACATAATTATTAACTGTTATTTTTAAAATTTAGCCATTATACATACACCTTTTTAGTTAACCCTAAGCCACAGTGTCAATTCTACAGCTAACTCAAAATACACTGGAAGTTTCCTAAGGTTAGAAAATGATCCACAACTCATTTCGTGTATTTTTTTTGAGGCTAAAAGTACATTTTAAGTGTCCATTCTATTTCATTTCCAGATTAATCTGCCATTTTAAACAATTCCTCGCAAAAATACATTGAACGTGAATTTTAAACACGTTTTTGTATGGAGTTTTTAAAATAGCAGATTAATCTGGAAATGGAATAGAATGGACCAAGGGGTGAACATACATAAAAGCAATAAAGGCTGAAAAATAAACTGATTTGTCAATTTCTACTTAGAAGAATCTGGCTTTTAAAAATAGGCTGCTGTTAGTCATTTTCCACTTTTCTTTATGACTCAGTTGCATTTGCTTTGCTTATAATATAATGGCTAAACACAATGGAACATGCTTGCTAAGGTTAGACAAACTTTCTTCATTGCTGAATGTTCAAAATAGTACCATGAAGTACTGGAATACTTAGCAATCGATCTGATTATAACATATCTGGATAAGACATGGGTCTAAGATGGACAGAAGGCAAATCGGAACACTGTGCTAAGTTCTGTCCGCTTGGTTCGAGTGGTTTCTTTATAGAAAAAACACGACACTCCTTCTTGACTTCACAGAAAACAGCTATGCTTTTATCCTCAAAAGTGGAAACAATCTGCCAGTTATTGCTGTCTGAAAAACAGAAACCTAATAATATACCCAAGCCTTTTGTGCACAATGAACCACAGAAGCAAGTCCCAATGAAACTTTAGCAAAAGCACAAAACACCACACTTTGCATTAAAAATGGATACTTTGGGATGCATCACCTCTGAACATGCTTTGAAAAACCAACGCCCGTCTGGAGGTTCTTTGTGCTATTCTTTCTGTTTGAGAGCAAGTTGATTTATTTGCAAACACAGCCATTATCTCCATGGAGATGGTGACACCAATTGTTTAGGTTTTGCATTGATCTCTGTGATTATGAATTCATTTCATACTATAAATTAGCTGCTTGAAATGACACCTAAATGGTGGTTCTACATTTTCACTCAAGACCACTGTTCCTACCTATTGGCCTCTATTGTTCAAGTGAATTAGTGTTGCCATTCTCACCACCTGCCTGGAAACAATGTGAACCAAGCAATTGTTGCCATGCAACGTCCTTTCATTATAAATGGGGTTGAACGGGAGGTCCGTGCAAATCCTATTGCATGAATGGAGGCTGCGGAACCATAATTCTTGGTGAATTTCATTCCCACTTGTCCCTATGATTTCCAAAATCGTAATAATTTTTATTCTTAGAACTTTGTGTATGTGCATGCATTATGAGGCCAAAAGTCAGATTTCAAAAGGAAAAAAAAACCCCAAAATTTAAAATGTTAAAATCTAAAAGGAAGTCATTTCACTGCAGTTATTTCCATGACAACTCCGGTTTACAGATTTAAATGTACTCTAAGATGCCCACAAAACCAATAGCAACATGCCATTAGATTATGCAGGGCTGGTGAAGTCAATAATATGCAATTTTCTCATATTACTGTGTGCTGTGCTAAAGGCAAAAATCAATTTTAAAACGAGATCTTTAAGACCTTTGAAGGCGACAACTTTTATTATCCATGGGGGCATTCCATTTGAGTTGGAATCCCTGAAAATGAGGGTTCAGGATCATTTGGAATAAAGTGTCATCTTGAATAGTTTGCACCTTAGCTTTACATACAAAAACCATTTGCCTGATAACGTCAAGGTAAATATGGCTATTTCCCCCTTCTTATATTGTGTGTGTGTGTGTGGGGGGAAATGATGGACCTCTAATTTTAAGAGCAAGCCTTTTTTAAAGCTACATGGTCCCAGAAGGAGGAATGGTAAACCACTTCTGAAATGAACTGCTGGATAGTTCAATGGTTTAACCATCTAGCTGCGGAAGCAGAGGTTGGGGGTTCAATTCCCCGCAGTGCTTCCTTGAGGGATTGGGCTCGATGATCCATAGGGTCCCTTTCAGCTCTGCAGTTCTAAAATGATTAGATTAGAAATATTCTTTAACTAAGAAACTCTGGAAAGGATTCTCAAAATTTGGAATTAACCTGATGACATGGTAATCACTATTAATTTCAAATATTGTCATTAGATCCCACGGGAACGTTAAGTTATTGTGAACAAAAGGACAGGAGAAGACACCAGTCCAGTTTTTACTTTGTTAGTCCATCACCATTCTGTTTGTGTAGAGAAATATAAATATAAAACTAAGACCACCAGTAAATGGATAATATAAACGAGTATCTGGTGGTCCAAAAGAGGCTTCTGAAAGGAAGCTTACTAATTTATCAGGGATTGTTAAATTAGGGCATACTGAAACTTCCACAATCAACATCTTCAAATATTCCTACTTTAAACAAAGTATGGCAATACATTTTAAGGGATGTCAAGGTTACATATATGGCTTTGTTATCTATCTTTCCCTCATTGCTATTCCAGAACACATCAAGTAACATCAAGTTACAGAACTGCTGTACAAATATCAGCCCACTAATCATTATGAGGCGTTGTCCCAAGAAACAATATAGGTTGCTACTGACAGTTGGACCAACTAAAGCCCAGTGTGACTTCAACCCATCAAAATGGCAAGAGAGGCTAAGAGAAGGATCAACTCTGACAGCCATCTGCATCTCACTCTTCCAGAGCCTCTGCTCTATGCTAGAGAATCAATCTCTTTCCTTGAACTGCCCCAGGCTGTGCAGCAAAAATATACCAGTTTGTATATCTGATTTCAGCTTAAATTCCTGATGCCTTTTTGATGCCACAATTGCTGTACAAATACGAACTCTGGTGTTTCACTGTAAGACAATGGGCAGTGTTCAGTTCTTTTGCCAGTCACTTCTTAAGCATCAAGAAAGTTTCAGGAACACAATCCTGGCGGAATACAATATACCACTAAGTGTCACCTTCAGGAAGCAGAATCATTCTGGGCACAAATCATCAAGGGTTCAATAGAAGGGTGTTGCATTATACTATGCCAAGTAATCAAGAATCAAGTAGCACCTTAAAGACTAATGAGATTTATTATGCCACAGACTTTTAGGGACCACTTAATTGGATGAATGAAATGTTACGTGTTCTCTTGTGTCCCTCCCCCATACGCATAGATGTACAAGGAAAATTCAAACTATGGTTGAAATTCTTTTGATTAGCTTGATATTACGCACATGGCAATTCCAAGTACACCAAGATGGAAGTGCTATTCACTTCCACAGTCACAATGAGCAATTGGTCACAAAAGGAATCATGAGACTGACTGCACAATTGAACCTTGACAAACAGGATTCTGGCCAGTGTGCCAAAATGTGATGAAAGGCAAGGGATGATGCCGAACTAGGCAGAGGCCAAACATGTGTATGATCTAAAAATGCCTGTTCCTATCCTATCTTGAGCTCTGCATAAAAATCTCATTAACCTACTACTATTCCCTGCATGACTCTCTCTCTCTCTCTCTCTCTCTCTCTCTCTCTCACACACACACACACACACACACACACACACACACACACACACACACACACACACACACATTTTAAACCATAGATTTAAACAAAAATGAGTGGGTAAAGAGAATTTTGTACATCAAAATACAAACTACAGTATTTCCAAAAAGGAGCTCAAGATAATGTACAAATTTCTCTCCTCCTGCTCATTTCTGCCTGTATGGAAGATATTTCTCTCCATATGTATGTCCACTTCCCTTAATTTATTTATTTTCAATATTTTATATCATCTAGCTGACAAATGCCATAGGCTTACAATCAGGCTTACAAAGAAAAAAGAAAAAAAAATCAAAATTAAAAGCAAAAATAAAATCACAGCTTTTCCAATCACAATGCATAATCAATGGAAATTGTCATCTATCAATCCCTCTTATCCATCTATATTGTGAATTACTCTGATTGCTAAGCATGTAATTTTATTTATATGAATCAATATATGCAATATATATAAAATATAGACATAACAAAGACCTATGTATGCCTACATGCATCTCTATATCTGTATCAATGCCAAAGATAGTACTTCATGCGGGTGATGAAGTGGGCTCTGACGTATGGAAGATTTTCAGCACAGCTTCTCTGAAAACTATTGATGTGTAAAGTTCTGACTCTTTAGCCGTCTTGACTTCTGAACTGCCACATAAAGCATAACACATATGGCTTCATGTTCTTCAGAGCCCAGTGTGCTTTGGGTTGTCATGGCATGTTGTTGATACAAAAATAGATGTCTATTGTAAAATGATTCAAAACATTCAGCTACATATGGCAGCAAAACTAATGCCTCAATTTTAAAAAGAGTTGTTGAATTATTCTACATGGGGAAAAAACAACATGAAATTATCTACATACAGTATTTTTCTTGGGAGCAAAACAATAATCAAGCCACATCCCTCAACCCTCTGGAAATAATCACATCAAAATAACTGATACTAATGCAACAGGTTTATCATCTTGCGCCCAGCAGTCAAAAGTGTGCATACCTAACATCACCTAGGCTGTAATTCTGTGAACACCTACCAGGGAACAAGCCCCATTGACCTCAACTAGAATTGCTTTTCAGTAGACACACTTATAGGACTGTACACTTCATGTAGCTCTGTAAGCTATACTTGCAATCAAACAATGTGATTTCTGGAAGTCCACGATCCAAGCAGGCAAGGGACTGCCAGAAATTGAGATAAAAAGAGAGAGGTGGAACAAAACTCTGCTAAGATTTAAAATCATCTGCAGGTCTAGTATTTGACAACAGGACTCTGAACAATCCCTGTTTACGAAATTTATTTTTGTGAGATACTTGTAAAATACCATATATATTGAATCTTGGCGCATTGATCCACAGTATAAGCTTGTGATCTTATGCATATGATGGCTTGGAGAACATTCAACGCACATTGAGGTTATGATTTGGAACCATCACCTTTTTAGGTATGTTATCTATATTATTTTACAAATAATATAAATAAATAAATAAATGTGTTTTGTCGCCCATGAAGGGCCTTCACCTCACAAGCTGATCTATCTAAAACATTGCTTCTGACACTGCACATGAACAAATAAGACAGGTAGCGAGCTTTCACGTCAAACCTGAATGCCAAGGCCTTGACTTATTCCATGTCCAACAATGTACCAGATATTGAGCCTGGTCAGTACAACTTTTCTCGCATTTTTTCTGATGCTGTCATACACACTACTTCTAGAACCAATACTGTACATTCTTTGAAATAGGCAAGACATAAACATTTATTAGCAAAAGAAAAAAAAATGTGACTCTTGCAAACTCCCAACAAAACAGGCTTCCATCATTTTGATTATAACATACGCACTTAAGAGGTGGAAAGAGGACATCAGATGTAGCAGGCTACATTCACATCTGTTGCAGCATGTGAAATATTGTTAGAAAGTGAAATGTATAAAAAATAGATAAAACCCCTACAATATTATATTCTGGATTATAATGCCAGGAAGGCTATAAATGATCTCTACAGTATTTGTATGAAGTGTGTGTTTTTTTCTTTTAAAAATCCAACTGAGATGCATCTTCACCCTTAGTGAATAACACTATTAAATGGAAGAATGCTTCATAATCTCAACTGTCTCTTTAGCTGGTGCAAATTTAAAGTGCCAGCCTGTGAGTCTCGCTGTTGTGATGTCTACATGCATTTTATAGGTACATGTTAAGTGAACTTACTCCAATTCTGCTGATGTGAACAGAGGGTGTGTAATGCACTGTAGCAGGGAAACTAAGCTTTCAAAAAAGAAGCACTCGTTTCTCAACAGAATGAAGCAATCCACTAAGCACTGGTTTATCTCGCTGGACCTTGGACAGAAGGCCAAGGTTTACTACATCCAATGCCAAGCTTGCACAAAATGGAAGAGCAACAGGACTACTTTCTCCACCCACTGCAGCCTTCTATGTTGCCCAAAACACTGCTCCAGAGGGTGGCTGGAATGAGGAGGAAGAATTGCCTGCCTCCTGGTTCTTTTGATGGAAGCAGTTCCACCAATAGAACCAACTAACTGGATGCTGGTCCAGATGCTTAGTGCATTGGTATACAGGTTGTGCCACTCCAGATGTTCTCAGACTATACCTCCCATCATCCTTAGCCATTATGTTTGGGACTGATGGGAACTGGAGTCCAAGAACATCAAGCAAGGCACAAGTTGGCCACCTCAACCCCACAACATTTAGTGGAATAACATCCTTTCCATCAATAGCAAATCAACTTGGATCCTTTTTGGTCATCCCATTGACAATTAATGATCAACAGAAGCTTGGGGAAGCAGAGTGCCAATTTGTATGATTTGAAGCTTGCTTATGTCAAAAATCCCTGCTCCTCCCATTGCCCCTTTCCAGTCTGTTTACTGACAGCAATCACCCACCTTCAAAAATAATTATTGCCTGACATTTCATGGAGCTTTTACTGCTTGCTGGCAACAATGCAGTGAAACAGAAAGAATCTCCACTCTCCTGTCATGCCCCAGTTCTGGGCTTGTGCTTTTTTGATGAGTCTTTGATCTGCCTGCCGGCCTCATAGGCTCGTTTCCCGGAGGAACATGGTGCCAATGTTGTAGGAGATCTTTCTCACTCTGGCAGATGTGACAGAGGACTTTGGCTGTTTCTGACCAGTTCTGACCTCCAGGAAATAGCAAATCCCAGGGATTTCCTTTGGAAAGTTTTCTGGAAGCTCTTCACGGGACCGAGGGATGAAAATGAAATTTTCTTCTTTTTTCAGAAGCCTAAGGAGAAAAAGAAGAAGGGTAAATTGTGGTCCTCAAACTACAAAGGAGAACATCCACAAGAAAAGTAGTGTTCATTTTTCTAGATAACAGCAATAACAACAGATCTGGTTGTTGTTGGTACACTGGGCAGTCATGCACAATAGATAAATACTCAGTCAGCCAGCTCCTCAGGATCTATTGAACTAGGAAGGGTTAAGACAGGACAGACAAGGCAGGAGAAGGGAGGGGTGTCCAAGGAGAACATGTTAAGCGTGAAGGTAGCTATAAGTCAATGTTGGGGAACCTCCTTCACTCCAAGAGCTAAATGTACTTTTAGACGCTCCCAGAGGAACTGCATTCGAATTGTGGTCATGATAAAAGGCAAAAGATTGAGACCAAAAGTACCAGCTATTTTAGTTTAAAGCTCTTACTGCTAATAATTCAGCCATTTTAGAAGATAGGAGTGTATGTGTGCATGTGCGCACAATCTTCACAAAAGCTGAAAAACCATCCACAGATGATGTTATGGGGAAACAGCATACAAGTAAAGAACCCCACAAAGACAAAATAAGAGAAATAATAACCCTATTATACTACTCAGGGGGACCTAAGAATAGATGTAGACATGTTTTTGAGCTAACCCAGAACATTTCACAAGCAAAATAAGTTTCATACTCAGCGTAAAGTGTCCCATTGTACCCTTTTTAAAATCCATTCTGGCACTAATTCCCATTCACTCTCATGCCCATCAGCCAATCTCTACTGGACATTCTCAGAACCTTCCAGAAGACAAGTGGTTCTGTAAGTAACCACTTTGATTTCTCACCGAAATGCAGCTGCGCATTATGGCCAAATTACATTTTCCCTTTTAAGATGGTTTCAGACGGACCTTAGGTTAACTTTCTATGTTTTAATAACCAGATGACCCTCTCCTGGGAACTATTCACATTCTTTGTTAACTGGCATAAATCCTCCCTCCCATCAGCCTCACAGCAGTACCAATATGGATCTGGGCTTGGTTCTTAGCATTTATTTACACCATACTATTCTTTGCATCTAGAATTTCTTTGCAGTAATAGTCGAAAAAATGAACTCCTCCAAACTCATCATCATGTATAACCTCTATATTAATTTCTGTTTCTTCAAACACATGGAGGTATGATGAAATGTCATTAAAGTATAGCAGATTTCGAAGAAAGTACAATATTTTGGGACATCACTGATGTAGGAGCTAAGGCTTATTCTTGATCACATACATTAAAAAATTAAACCTAGTTATATCAAATAGCCCTGCCTATGTTTCTTGATCAAACTGGGATGTTCAGCAAATATGTCTTTATACAGGGCTCCTACTGATGCCAAGAAACCTATTTGTAGAAGAGGAAGAAAAACTCAACATGCATAAGTGTACTGGTATGGCCTCGTGCCATTCGTCTAGGCTTATTTGCGGTGAAAAAAATACATTTTAATACACTGGGTATTGTCAGATTTCCAGCTGGCTCTGCAGAAAGAAAAGGCAGATAAAACTGCTTGAGGAAATATGTCAGAATATCTCTTTTATTTGTACCGGAAAACATCCAGTTCAACATTGCTGAAAATAAACATGGGCTGGTATGGACTGTTAAGACAACAGGAAAGACCAGTCTGCTAACCAAAGGTGACACAGATTCTCTACACTGGTTTACTGTCATTTGCTATCAACAGATTCATACAGAACCAGTCTTATCCACCCTTGTGAATGACTAGAGGATTAGGGCCTGGTGTTGATCCACATTTATTTCTTCTTATCTCAAATGTAAAATACACAATATGCCAGAACCGAAAGAGATGTGACTGAGTTTAATTGTACTCCTTGGGAAAGTACCCCATGAAAAAACTACGAAGAAATGACTAATAAATGTTATTTCTATTCACACATGTTCCTACTTTTCTAAAAGTCTGAGATGTTCATATTTTAGGGCTAAGTAATGTTCTAGCTTTCACAGTAGGACTGCTGTTTTAAACATAGGGTACCAATTGTGTTGACAATACACCTCCCTTTCCCTCCCCACCAACTTGCCTGGAATCACAAAATTGAGTAGAGGTATGTACTCAGGAGTTTTTTGACCCAGTTGAGCCTGGTGCTATTTACCTTATTGCCCCGTAGGTCTTGGCATTTAGAATTGCTTTGATTTTACCTCTGCAGATCTGATAACTAATCAGGCCTTACTATCTGTTGTTACACATTAATAGCAGGAAACTTGTTCCCAGATTAAATGTCAATTCTCGCTCAAGCCTGTTTGCCATGGAAGAAGGCCAACTTTTCTGTTTCCCCTCCACTTATTCTGAGTTGCATGCTGGGAAGTCTGCTCTTCCACTATTCTTTATCCATGTCATTTCTTTTGCCTCAGTCTGCCTGGTTCTGTACATTTCCCTCTGCCATTCAGTATTTATCGGTCACTGGCTGTTCATACTGCATTATTAATAAATGTGAAGTCTGATTCATACCAAAGTGTGGATTTGATGCAAGTTTAGCTGGCTAGAGAAACCTGCATTAGTTTAGACTGGTGGTTTACCAGACACATTGTATTATATACAGTATATATATATATTTAACTTCTATGCTGCCCAAAAGGTCTCTGGGCAGCTTACAACAATTTGAATACAATAAAAAGATAAAAACAATTAAAATACAATTAAAATCGATACTCTAAAAATTGCCATCAGGATCCACAATTGATTAGCATATAACAACAAATAACAATCACATCCAACTGTTGTGAAAATGAGGACCTACACTTGATGATACATGGCCTCTAGCTGGGTTTTGTACATTTGTACACTAATCATCTGCATCCACCCTGCATGTCTTAAAATTTGCTGTAGTATGCATATCATTCTGGATCAGGTGGGGCACTTCAATACAAGTTGCTTTCTTTTTAATTTGTAATTAGCAGGGCAGGAAAGAAACCCTATTATACCAGATCAGTACCATATGTTTGTACTCTATGGTGCTTATGTATGGTGTTGTGTTATGAGCAACAGAACTGGTAAAAAGTGTATAACCATTTAATAAAGATACAGCGGTGCCCTGCATAGCAACATTAATCCGTTCCAGGATTAACGTCGCTATCCGGATTCATCGCTATGCGGGGGGGAACCCATAGGAACGCATTAAACTACGTTTAATGCATTCCTATTGGAGGAAAACTCACCACTATGCGGGGAATCCTCCATACCTCCCTCTTTCAGGAGGGACCCCTGGCTAGATCTTAATTGCCGGGGAGGTTCATATGTAAGGAGGCGGTCCTTCAGGTATCCAGAGCTCAAGCCATATAGGGCTTTATATGTCAAGCCATGAAATTAAAAGACACCTGCTTCTTGGGAGGAAAGCAATGACAAACCTCAACAGCATCTTAAAAAGCAGAGACATCACCTTGCTGACAAAGGTCCGCACAGTCAAAGCTATGGGTTTTCCAGTAACGATGCATGGAAGTGAGAGCTGGACCATAAAGAAGGCTGACTGCCGAAGAATTGATGCTTTTGAATTGTGGTGCTAGAAGAGACTCTTGAGAGTCCCCTGGACTGCAAGGAGATCAAATCTATCCATTTTGAAGGAAAGCAACCCTGAGTGTTCACTGGAAGGACAGATCCTGAAGCTGAGGCTCCAATGCTTTGGCCATCTCATGAGAAGAGAAGACTCCCTGGAAAAGACCCCGATGTTGGGAAAGTATGAGGGCAAGAGGAGAAGGGGACGACAGAGGAGGAGATGGTTGGACAGTGTCATTGAAGCTACCAACATGAATTTGACCCAACTCTGGGTGGCAGCGGAAGACAGGAGGGCCTGGCGTGCTCTGGCCCATGGGGTCACGAAGAGTCGGACACGACTAAACAACATGTCAAAATAAGCACTTTGAATAGGGCCCGGACAGTGACTGGTAGCCAATATAATTTGAACAGAATTGGCCTGATGTGGTCCCTAGCGGCCACACATCTCACCAGCCATGCAGCTCGATTCTGAACTAGTTGCAGTCGCCAGACTGTCTTCAAAGGTAGCCCCATGTACAGCGCATTGCTGTAATCATTATGGGATGTTACCAGTGCAAGCATAACTATCATGAGATTCTGCTCCTCCAGGTAGGGCTATTAGAACTCAGAAATGTTCCTTTTTTGGCCAATAACTCTCAAAAGGCTATGCTAACTGGGGAAATTTGGGAGTCGTAGTCCAAAAATAACTCTTCCAAGCTCTGACTGTGTATGGATTGGTACGTACTAATTGGTGCAGACCTGGTTTATACCTGAAAACTACACTCTCCTGCCAGAGCTGATCATGCAGCCTGCTTGATATATTTCTGGAAAACTGTAGGGAACAAACTGGAAAGGTAGAAATATGCACTGGAGGTTCTCCTAAGTCTTCTAGGTAGCAAAACAACAAAAAACATTCTTGCTCACTTGTTGAAAAACAGCTCTCTCTCTCTCTCTCTCTCTCTCTCTCTCTCTCTCTCATACTTTAGGCGTATCGTGACAACGTCAAATTCATTGAAAAAAGCAATAATGATTGGGAAAGTTGAAGGCATCAGGAAAAAGGAAGACCAAATATGAGATGGATTGATTCCATCCAGGAATCACAGACATAAATTTACAAGAGATTAGGAGGGCTGTTGAGGACAGGACATTTTGGAGTTCACTCACATATAGGGTCACCATAAATCGGAGGGGACTTGAAACAGCACAAAACAACAACAGTAGTGGCTAGAACCTGATATTTCTATTCTCCATCAACTACCAGATCCCTCACAACCTCATACGCTCTCTCAGGTGACCTTGTGGATTACTGTAGGCTATGGCCAGTTTGTTGTGGAAAACTGACAACATAGGTCAATGAGTTGGATATCTGGCTGCAGAGCCAGAGACCTGGAAATCAACTTTCTGTGCCTTAAAAGAGACAGCTTTTGTGGTTTTTGGCAAGCCACACAATCCCATAGCACTTCCAGAAGAAATGAATCCTAAACCACTTCTAAGTACTGTATACCAAGAAG